AGGTGATTTCTGGTTTACAAAAGGTATTATGAAATATTTTGCATCAAATTGAATAATTTATTTCATTAAAATTAGAATTCGAGAAACAAAATAATGTGACAGAAACAAGTCCAATGCAGCAGAATATCATTACAGAAGAAGAAATACAAAAACCACTAGTACAACAAGTATGAATAGACAATGGAAATTCTATTATTGTATTTTGTTTTTTGTGTTTAGTTGATTTTAAGCTTGGAAACAATCGAAATTAAACTTGAAGTTGGATTAGGTTCAGTTACAAAATCTGTTGTAGCTATGTGTCTATCAAATTTAACTACTGATATTGAAAATTGGTCGTCGAAAGTAAAAATTATTTTTGTTGCAATTCATTTCTATTGATTTATTTAGATGAATGTGACATCAAGCGTAAATATTGAAGCAGCATTATACAATGAACATACACTTACTTGGGAACCACTTATTGAACCAACAATGGATTCCGATGGTTTACGTTTTATACCATGGTCGCTGACATACACTGTCTCATCTGTAAGTACTTAACTCATATGAGCGTGAGTTGTTTGTAAGAAAAAAGTGAACGTAAGGTTTAGCAGGGTGAACTCTTTCTCAGAATCTCTTACTGATATAAAACTACTTTCATCTAACTTCATTTGTACTGTTGATTCTTAAAATAGAAAATATCTTCATTCTAATTCAAAGACTTTTCCATCGTCAAAATCTAAAACAGTTATACTTCTATGTTTTGATCAATTACTCAATATAACAATGACAAAAAGTGGAGTGGAACTTCTTCAACGTTTATCAGCTTTATTTAATGATGTTTATAATAAGCGACTGCCACCAAGTGATGATGATGATGATCAACCGATGTTATCTTTATTGAATCAAACAGGACAAAAAATAACTATTAGTAATTTAGATGGTCTTCAAGTAAATTTGACATGTTCTATCATCGATTTTATTTCTTGATAAATTTCATTCATAGTTCACTAATGATTTATCAATAAAATCAATTACTCTTCAACAAAATGATAGTATTCCATTAAATATTTGGTATGAACATCAAACATTTGGACGACTTTCAGTTATTGATGAACAAAATCGTCAACGAAGACGAGAATTTTCTGTTCAAGTAGGGATCAAAATATAATCATTTACTTTTCATAAAATAAAAGAAAAATGTGAATTTTAGACTGGAGATGTCAAAAAAACAGTTAGTATAAATCGAACATTGCAACGTATATACACATTACATGCGGATCGTCAAATTCACAATTACCCATTCAAATGATTTGTAATGCCGAAATAGAAAATGATCGTCGACGTATTATTCTTAGTTCAATCGTTCGAATTTATAATCATACAAAATTACCATTACTTATCTTAAATACTGATCCAATGAATTCGAAAAAGTATAATTGATTAGCTAAAATTGATGTTAATAAAGATTATCATGTACCTATCGATTTACTTTATACAAATGCATCGATTTTTATGACTGTTGATGAGTAAATATTTGATAAAATACAAGATAAATCATTTGTTGATTTCTTGTAGAGATGAACAAGTAAAGAATTTCTTTTCATTCGATTGGAAAAAAGAAATTTTGACTGAAACAAAATTAAAATTAAAAAATGGAAAACAAGCAGACTTTATTGTAGGAGTTTTCAGTAAAAAAAAAACAAAATTTTCACATTTAATAGTAATTTATTCACAGGTTTTTAAAGAAACGATGGATGCATATTCAGAAAATACTGATGAATTGGGTGGTTTTAGTTTCAATATTTATATTCAACCAGCACTTCATCTAACAAGTCTTTTACCAATCGATGTTGAATGTTCAATTGATGTAAGTCAAAGAATGAATTCAGATTAAATATTACTTTATCAATTAAATCATAACATAAGAATGTATAAAAAAAAGAAAAAAACTTCTTACTTCAAGTGAACCTATCATCTGATAAACTTTATTACTCAAAGAGGTATCAAAACCATCGGTTTCTTTTTGACACAAGGAGTTTGTTGGAATCAAGCTTTCTTGAAAGGCATAAGAGTTTGTCGTAATTATTTTTACTCTGCAAAAAATGCCATCATGTGCATACGCAATTTTCTATTGTTTCAGTGCTTTCTTCCCATTGAGTCAATAATCTTATATTTCTATTTAGAATGTTGAACAATTTGATTTGAAACCAAGTGAACTCTATTTAGCTACATCTGGCAGTAAAACTTCGTCATTAATTTTCACTGTAAATCTTTCCTTTTTTGTCTAATTCTTATTTAATATGATTTGTGTTGATATTAGATTCCATCGTATGATAATATAAAATGGATTTCGGATCCGGTTGATTTGAAAGTTCAAGGATAAGGTGATGGTAATGAATACATTGTTACTTTGCATAATCAAACGGATTCATATTCTCAACAAATACTAGTAAAAGCCTTTTAACTGAAAACACAAAGTGTATCTATATTTATTTATTTAAGAGAATGATTTTGCGTGTTGATGCGTTCCATGAATCATATCGTCTATTATTTTACGCACCATTTTGGATCCTTAATCGAACAGATCTTAAACTTGATTTTCAAGTAAATTATTATGAAATTTATAAACTTTTATTATGAAATTCATTTGAACAGATTGAGAATAATCGAATGTTGATTGATGTTATTGAAAGACCATATTTAATTTGTCCAGAAAAAATAGGAAGTGAAGCAAGCAAAAAAGTAACAAATAATAACTT